TTTATTGCACCCCCAAAACCCCAAAACCCCGTTGAGAGCGATAGAGCATACAATTGAATGTTTATACAAATACAAACTAGCAAAAGAAGAAATATATTTAGTTTATGATTGCATCAGAAGTATTCTCAACGTATCATTATCAAATGCATCATAATATGCTTTACATTCATTCATAATTTGATTAGCTTCAACTAAGTCTTTCTACAGGTTCAATGTGGTCATAGTCTTCCAGAGCCAGAGAGTCCACACTCGGATCTACTCCCAGCGACTAGCTTACAGTAATACCGCCTGCACTCTCAGTGATATTTTTATGAGGGTTGAAGTTGTCATTTGAATCGAGCAAGTGATTGTCCTCTGGCAACTCCTCGTCGATCTCTTCTTCAAAGTCGTCGCCATATGTCTCAATAATATCATCTTCCTTCTTTGAAATGTCCCTTGAGAATTTGCCTGATTTATTATTGTGATTATCTGAACCAAATTAATAGCCAGATCTCTCTTCACGTTTTTATTCCTCTAGCATCTTGGAGGCTTTCTCTAAATGCTTCTCAGTGGCTGACTTCTCCTCCACTTATTATTGGGCTTTTGATGCTGGCTAGTTTTAAGATTTCAATGATGACTTAGAGATGTCTGCTTGTGATTGGGCGTAGGATTCCTATTGCTTCTTATCGGGTTGCTGATAACTGTAGTCTTACTATTTGATTTAAGGTTGAGAGAAGAGCGATGAATGCTCCTCCTTTGGCTTTTATTTCTCACTGACACTTGAAGCTGGTCTATCGTTGCTTAAAAAGCCTTCAATCAGCTGTGCCATTAATGGTTTAGAACCACTGGGTTCAGAGATGCCTACCTTCTTAGATAACTCTTGCTTGGACATCGTGTTCTATTGGTTAAGGTTGACCTCTGGCATGAAGATGGCCAAGGTGTAGTCTAACTTGTAGAACTCGAGGAAGTCCTTCACTAGCTCTGCGCAGAGCATGCCAGTGGCTGACTGCATAACTTTGCGGGCATTGGGGTTCTCCCAGTGGAACCCTGACTAGCCTTTCTCAATCTGATCCTGGTTATCAATGACTTTAAACACGCAAGATCTAAGTTGAGCTCTCAGCTGGCCAAGGATTCCGTTAGTTTCAAGAGTCTAAATTACTAAATTTTTCAACTCGTCCATTTTTTCGATTTTTGAATTATGAAATATTTTACTTTAAGCTATTATATTTAAAATTTGAATCGTTCCATTTTAAGCCGAGTATTCTGCGTTTAGGGGTTTTGGGGTTTTGGGGTTTTGGGGTTTTAACTTCATT